TTCTCTTTAGGAGTGACAAGAATAGACAGGATCAGGAATGTGGTCATTAGAGGGACAACACAGACAGGAAGTTTTGGAGAAAAAGCTAGAGAAGCCAGATTGAGATGGTTTGGACATGTGCAGAGGAGGGACAGTGGATACATTGGTAGAAGAATGTTAGAGATGGAGCTACCAGGTAGGAGAAAGAGAGGAAGACCATTGAGGAGATATATGGATACAGTGAGGGAGGACATGCAGATAGTTGGAGTCAGAGTAGAAGATGCAAAGAACAGGGAGAGATGGAAATCAATGATTTGCTGTGGCAACCACTGGAAAAAAAGGGACAAAGCGGAAAGAAAAAGAAGAATAAGTGTGAACCAGTGTTAACTTCCAACGGTAATTGTCGTTCCGTATTTGTGCAACATCTGTTTTTTTTAAACTCTGCCATGCCAAAAAACAAAGCAGTAAGGCAGTGGTCCTCAAATGGCAGCAAGTAGACCATATCTGGTCTCTGAGCCACCTATTTGCAGACTGCAAATCTTTCTTGCTGTGTGTGTTTTGGTTTAGGCAGCATGTGTGAGTGGGCTGTCAACTTTATGTCAAGCTAAATGCTATTAGCAGGAACAATAGTTATTTTCTATCACTTTTCAAGCGGTATCCTTATCAATAGTTAGCCGGCAGTAGGAGCCAAGACTTAATGTATAGACTTGTCTACATGAGTTTATTTGTTATTGTTAAAAATCATCACCCAGGACCTGCCTGACTACTTACAAAAGAGGGTGAAAAAATGCAGGTCTTAGCTCACTGTACATGTAAACCTTCAACAACTCTACATCTCACAAAATAAAGGTTTTCCTGTGAACTAGAAACCTTTGGAAATTAACGTGTAATGTGAGCATACGCATTCACACCATTGTCACAACTTCATATCAATTATTTTTCATATCAATTATGTTTAATGGTTTGTTTTTTGTTATTAATATTTTATTGATGTAACTTTCAGCTGCTTGATGTTGCTCTCTGACCTACAAACCACTCACAAATCTCTAATGTAATATATTTAGATTCATTTTCAATTTTAACCATTATCACAACAAAGTCATAAATCCCAGGCAAAGACCCCTGGAGGGGTCGTGCCTCCTACTTTGAGAACCACTGGACTATACACAGAGTGTGGGAAAAACTGGTGACAGGTCTTATCCCAAGAACAGCACATTGATCTGTCCAAACTAACAACATGAGTGTCAAATTCAACAGCAACACAATCAGAACAAGGCGAGACACCAGCGTCCAGTGTGACCACAGGCTAGGTCGGCTTAAAGACCCTCATTGAACTCTCAGTGGAACACTGGGTTTGCATCCCAACATGACAATAGACTGGTCATCATAAATCACCACTGATCTTTATTAAATTAGCTCGGCGGCCACTTCAAATCCACCATAAGTGGTTAAATGCATTATGTTGATTAATCAGTCCTCTAAGTGCTAATAAAATAACAAGCAACTCAAGGACAGAAGACCCTCGATTTTTGTCCACACAAACTCCTGGATAAAAACAATACACACAAACTGATATTGTTTTACCCAGACGTCTTTATCGTGATATCATGACAATGATTTGGTTTCTCATCCCAGCTCTCATTTGTGATTTTCCTTCCATTCTGTATTTGCAGCTTCTGGTAAAA